ATAGACTTGAACCAATGAAGCTTATAGATCATTTATAAAGTATCATTCCATCCCACTCTTTTTTATGCAACACTTTGTAAGAGATTGTTTCAAGACATTAAGTGGATGCCTGTTAATGTGTTTGATACAGCCCACGATATAACATTAAAATAAAATTCTTTATAATTCAGAATGTTCATTCTAAAACTAGACTCTAGCACAGCTAGAATTATTGTGACAATGCTCTTGACATCTTATTTTCAGGCTTTTTCCAGCTAAGTGAGATTCATTTAGTGTGATTTACTACATGTAATTCCTGAAAATGAGAGGGAGATGTTAATCCAGTGAGCTGTCTGTTTTCCATGTCATTAGCACGGTGTCTGCAGAGAGGGGAAGTGCAGGCTCCTTTATTGTGGTTATAGAATGGCAACACAGAAACTCAGAGGTGGTCCGTAAACAAATCCATATGTAATGGCTGAAGTGATAGAAGTTGACTCATTTGGTACTTTTAAAACCAGTAGACAAAATCCAAAACAGTTTTGTATAATCTTATATCAAGAGGGGGGGCTTAGGCAAGATGTGACTTAATGAGGGATGACAAGGAAGAATGAGGAGTGTGTTTTTCCTGGTTTTCAGGTGGGGAAAAACTTATTTTCACTTATTTACCTCTAGGATAATTTAGTTTGGAAGGTACTAATATATTGCTCTCTGCCAAAATACACGTTAATAGACTGTAAGTAGATGACTTCAGTGTGGATGAATAATTAATACTGGAATTGGCTTACATAATTTCACTTTTTCAGATTTGCAGAGGTCAAGTTTAATTCAAATCCCCGAGATGTGCACTTAGGCACATAAGTGAGCTCTTAAAAGTCAAAAATAAGCCTTTTGTTTTTTATTACACTAAAACCTTTCTCTAAGAAGACAACACACACACATTCAATAACAAAGGAAGAATGTAAGCCAAGAAAAAGCATAGTTCCTTGTGTCCATAAGTGTGAGTCCTACATATGAAACAGCAGCAGTGCCCTTTTTAAAGTGTATGCTACAATGGCTGTAAACTTTTTAAAATTGGGCTATATCTAAATCCAACCTGACAGATGATTAAATCTGATCATACTGCAGGATTTTGCTATGAATTCTAGGATGAATTCTAGAAATGAAGTCGCTAATAAGCTGTTTTTAATGTCTGTAATTGTGGCTTGCAAGCAAATAATCAGAAGACTATTACACATTCAGTTGTTTTCAGGTCACTGAATTCTCAGGGAAGTAGAAAAACTTAATGTAGACTTTACATTCTGTCAGTCCCTAACACAGCCACAGGCTGCAAGTCCTCTCCTAACATCAGTTCTTCATTTCACAAGTAGGAAGAGAAAACCTACAGTGTCTTGTATGGAAGAGATGTTTCATGAGTATGTCCACATGAGCTGAGCCCCGTGGAATAAATTGTCATTATTTGACAATAAAATATTCTAAATACAGGCCCAGAGACTTGCTGGGGCAGGCTGGCAGCCCAGATCTGGGTCCCATTCCTGGTCTGAGGTTTGTATCCTGCTCTCACTTTTTTTGTTGTTGTTTTTTGGGTTTTTTTTTACTAAGAACTGTTCATGAATAATACTGAGTGTACCGTGTGTGTGTGACAGCACACAGCTATACCTACTGATGATAATGAGTCTAAGTGGCTTATATTCAGTAAAATTCAATGTATTCAGTTCTCTTTCCCAATTAATGTTTCACTTTTGGAACGTGAAATTTGTTTTTCACGGCCAAGGGTGTGAATCCCTACATTATTTTGCCAAACACTTTTGGATTTTCTAGTCAATATTCTCTCAGTATGTAGCCTACACTGTTTCTGAAGTTGGCCTAAAGTCACACCAACTATCTACATTTGCTTTAGGTTGCTGCATTTGGTTTCCAGAGCTCAGCCCAAGTTCCTTTCGAGTCGGTAGGATTTTTGTGTTGGCTTTTGCAGTACTTGGATCATATCCATAGTGTCTAATTCCTCCTCTTGCTTCTCCTCCCCTCCTGAAATACCCTGTAAGAAAGTTATAATCTGAAAAATAACAGTATTGGGCCAGATTGTCAGTTCCTATAAAACTGAATAGATTTATTTTTTTTTCAAGTCAGTAAAACTCTGCTCATTTAGATGAGCTTAATATCTTTACATACAGCCTAATATCACTTTAATAAGCCATCAAATCCTCTAAACTTATTTATGTGACAACCATAACCGGTCAGACTATATTTTACTTTGTCCTATATTTTACAAAGTCCGATGCAGTGAAATCTTAGTGTCACCTGACTTTTATCAACTATTTTCCTTGTTATTTCTGGATACAGCCCTGATGCCCACCAAAACAATCTGTCTCCCTCTGTGATGCTGTTACCTGGTCATCTGTTTTCTCATATGTTTGCTTCACCCTAGATTCAACTTAAAGACAGATTCTACAGAGAAGAGCTTCAGACACAACTGAAATAGTGAGATTTATGGCAATCATAAGCATATGTTGGATTTTATTTTTAGAAAGGATTTTCTTAGTTTCAGTTGGCTGGAGAATGGTGGGGAAATACATGTATGTCATGAATGTATTTACATTGATACTGACTGATAAAAGCTATTATTGCAGAATCCAACTTCTTATTTCTCAGAGATCTCATGCAATTGAATGGGTGAATTGGGTGGATCATAAAATCTCAGAAATTTCATCTTCAGCTGAAGTGTGTTGGGGAGGAAACTGCTTTTCCAGTTAGAAAGTAGAGCAAGTTATTTTATTTTTTTTTTCTTGGTAAGAAATCCTTTATACTTCTGTGAACCTGGAGCAATTATGAAGCTAGCAGAATTATTTTGGATTCATGCTGATGTTACTAACATCAAAATGTGACCATAGGAGTAAAATGGTGCATTTGTGGCACAGCACAGCATGAACAGTTGCTATATTTAGGATGTAGGAAAACCCAGTCGGCAGAAAGCAAGTACTGAATGAATTCTACAATAGTATAATAATACAAAGGAGAAGGAACAAAGAGGGGAAAGATAAAAGATGCATGTTTGACTTGAGCATCAGGAAATGGCATAGTTTGTCAGCACAATAGTCCCTAAGGGAAACTGGACCAAATATACTTTTTGCTAAGTTTCCATCTTAATCAAAAGTCCAGGTAATAGCTGCTCTTGGAAGGTGAACCCCCCTGTGACAATATATGGAAGATGAAATGCAGGCACATTCAACTCCTCCCCACAGCATCATCCCATATTGTACTGCACAGGTTGGACTCAAATTGTTTTAATGTGCAAAGTTTTTGGGGACAGTTCTCAAATGGGGTTTTTTTCAGGCATTCAAAGAGAAGAGAGTTGCTAAATAAAATTCTGCAAACTATTTTCTCAGAGCTCTGTCACCATTTGAACTGCAGTTTTCAAACTGGACGTAAAAACCATCTGCTTCTTTCATGATCTGTTTTCCAGGCTAAAGGCACGATTCAAATCTCATACCCTTGGTCAGGGTTCAAAACAAAGTCCTGAAACTAGAATACAGAGCTTGAGAGGAAAAGGTGTGATGGGCAAAGATGTGAGTGTGATTCTGCTTTCACACCAGTGTAAGTCTGGAGTAAAATCTCACCTGTGTAGAGCTGCACAACACCAAGCAGCAGCAGAGACTCAGTAGCTGGGAGTTATTAACTCACCTAAGAGTGCTTGAGCATCTTCTTGGGAGGGACCAGAAGTAACTTTATTTTCCAGTATCCATAAAACTGAATCGACTTCCCACGGCGGTTTCAGGTAAAAACCAAAATGCAGAAGGAAGAATTTCCTTGCATAAAAATGCTTTAAGTTAAAACTGTCAAATGAGATTTCATCTGCAGCTGCTTATTCAAATGAAGAGTTCCATTCCTTATAAACTTAACCTGATTTTCAAACTCTACTGTACAGCTGGCCATGCTTTCTTCATTCTAGGTGAATTGGTCTCCTTATGTCACAGAAATCAAAGAACATATTTTTAGGTTGAGGTCCAGTTTGTTGGTTGGAGTTTCTTTCAAGAATGAAATTTTTGCCTTTTATTATGTGTGATTTTGTTTAATTGAGGATGTTTCTTGTTTTGTTGTCTATGCTGTGTGTACTAATCTGAATTGTCCTGTGTTACAAAAGGTTTATGTGCCACGTAAGTCTCAACTGCAAATCCTGGCAGACCTCGGGGGCGTTTTGGGGCATGTTAGAAGACATCACCATATAGACATCACCGTAAATCCAAAATCAAACACCCAGGCTAGGTTAAACATCTTCTAGAATGCCTTTTACAGGACCAATTTTTAACTTCTGGTGCTAGGGCTAAATGTTTAGCATTTCATGAAATGTCCCAATCAAAGGATTTTTCAGTGTGGGATTTAGGATGTGGCTTCTATAGAATGTGCTGCTTTATGACGCCTCACTGCTATTTATTTGACTGTTTTACATTATTAGAATGTATTGTCAGCAAGACTAAATTGTTAAAAGTATTGGTACTTCATTTGATTAAACTTTTTTTCGTATTTTTAGAGATAGAGGAGGTTGTTTTGGTTGCTTGCCCCTCACTACTCCTTTAGATAGATCCTTATCCTATAAAGAAAAGCCAGTTTCAAGACATGTAAAATGGTGTCTTTACTAACATATTTTCAAAAAAATTAATCTGAAAATATTCATGTTGCCTGACATATTTCCACATGAAGAACAGGATCACTCCATGCTACAGGACTAGAAAAAACACGTAGCATTCATTTACATAAAACATGAAAATCTTTAGTTTAAAATACCGGCTCATTTTCTTACTTTTTTTTTTTTTTTAATTGACTTTTAGAATGCAAATAAAAACCACTACTGTTTCTTTTCCTTTTCCTTTTATTGCAAAGCAGACTACTAACATATGTTCTTGACTTTCATTTAAAGCAAGCACAGCAGAAAAAAAAAAACCAAAAACGTGATTTCTCACTGAACGGTTGCCTCTCAAGAGTTGTTTTGTTTTGTTTTTTTGTTTTTCCTGCCTACGTAATTTCAGATGCTGCACAACAAGCACGTGATGGTTCGTGTTGGAGGAGGCTGGGAGACTTTTGCAGGGTACTTACTGAAGCACGACCCGTGCCGAATGCTGCAGATCTCCCGAGTGGACGGCAAAACTTCTCCCATCCAGAGCAAGTCTCCGACCCTCAGGGACATGAATCCAGACAACTACCTGGTTGTTTCTGCCCATTACAAAACCAAGAAGGAGATTAAGTGAAATAAGCTTCTCATGTGTGAGTGGAACTCCATGTACGTAGGTCCAAATTATTTTCTCAAGTGTAGCGAATTTAGTTTATGCTTTTAAAAGGACTTTGGAAAATTTCAGACTGGAAATGGCAACCCATTTTGAAGATCTTTTGAACTGTAGAACTATTTATTTCTAGTACTGTATCTTTTATAGCAAATTACCCTTGATAGGCTAATTACTACAATCAGATAATAAATAGACATATATTTTTAGCCTAATTATTACTCTTTAATATGTGAATGTATACTTAGAGCTACATAAAGGAGTGGATCCTGTTAATGGAAGAAAATACACAATACACTTGTATGAAAATCTTATTACTTTGAATCCTTGACTGTTAGGCTAGTTGAAAAATATATATGCAGGTGGAAAATGGATATTTGTGGAAATTATTTGGTAATGCCTCTTGAAATGAAATAAAAAGTGACTATTTTTATGGTTTGCAACCTTTTCTTAATCAGTAGAATATAACGGCTTATTGCATGCCAAACGACTTCCCAAAGCCATTACTTTAAAAAAAAAAGAACAAAAAAGCCCAAGAAACCCCACCCCTCACCACCTTTTTACTCTTTAAAGCTGAAGAGGATGCTGTGTTAGAACTGTGTGTAGGTCCTTCCTGTCCCTCCAGAGCCACAGAACACTGCACTGTTCTTGGACATGAGCTTTTCCCTCCCCTTCTTTTTAATTTTGTCGGTCATGCCAAATGTGAAATATTCCTCAGTAGAGTGATTCACATTCTCATAAATCATTCACACACCTCTAAAGGCATACGTGGGCTTAGTTCATTATTTTGGCTACTTTTCTATGTTTATATTTGGTAATTTATGTGCCTTTTAATGTCCTAGAAAAATAATTTTGTAGGATTATTTCACTGACTGTATAAATTTACAAATGAAATAAATTTTTTTAAAATACTCATACATTTTGAAAGTCTTATTTATTTGTAATCTGTCATCCTCCCTTTGCTTCCTACTGACCAGATGCTTACAATATACTATACTGCTTGCTGCCCTAATAATGAGCTACACAAAGAAAGGGGCAAGCAGATAGCACAGAAATACCCAAATTTTATTGAAAATTAATTTTCCTTTGCAGGGAAACAAAACATTCAAAGCTATATATTTTATTAGTACTGATTGGTGTTTTTCTCTATTTTCTGATGTTTAATTTTAAAACATGCCTCTTATGATCTGCTCCTGTGGTCTTTAAAATTAACAGCAGAATGTCTGCAGGCTAGAATCAAGACTGTCTTTCATGTTCCATGCCTTATTAAAATCAGCATGTTGTATCTCACTCCTGTGGAACAGGCACAGTTCACCATCTAGAAATATCTGCTAAATACAAACAGTTCACAACTGCTTGGTGCAGCAGGACATAATTCCAAACAGGTTTTCAGAAAGAAAAGACACAGCCTTTTATTCTTATTTTGAGACGCTTTCTAGGAAGATTAAACATATATCCAAGCAGTAAATCCTTTGAAAAGCCCATAGGAAGGCCCAGTTGTCACTGCCCTTATGGCAGCAGAACACAGACCACAAGCAACATCACTTTTTTAAAAAAAAGCTGGGCAGCTGAAAAATGTCAGGATCTTAATATAAGCATTGAGAGATCTGTTTTCAAATGAACAGGGGGGGGGGGAAAAATCACTCCTGAAAGTGTGAGACGTTTATTTTGAAATAATTAGTTGGATTTCACAGAATCGTAGAATTGTTAAGGTTTGAAAAGACCTCCAGGATCATCAAGTCTAACCTTTATTTCCATCATCCAAGACTAAGTTTGCATTGCTGTTATGTTGGGGTTTTTTAAATATTTGAAGGGGTTTACACATTAATAAATCAAGAGCAGATAATGATAAGAAAGGTATTCCTAGTTTTATCCAAACCAAGATTTTAAACTAAACATGAACTGCTTTGCATGCTTGGACTGTAGCTATCAATATAGTCTTTTTTGATTCAGGGTACTCAAAAATCTTTTTTTTTAAAAAATCATCTCATTAAAACAAGTCCTGGATTAAAACTTCAATTTTGCCAGTTCCAGAATGGAAATTTATATGGATCTATAAAGGATTTAAGTACTGCCACTACCACCTAATCTGTGTAAAAAAGGTAGGACTTACTGCATTTGACTGCATTGGTGTGGGTGTGGATAACAGAGGAGGAAATTAAAGCAGGAGCATCCATAAAGCAAACAAAATTTAAAAAATGCAGTAAGCTGGTTAGCACTGGAAGAAGGGGTTGGAGTTAAGGCCTCTTCTCAAAGGCCTTGTAGACCAAACCTCATGGGAGCTCCAGCTGGCTGTGAATAAACTGTGCTAAACCTCGAGACAGATAAATTATGGGAGATTACTTGTGAAAAACATTATTATTGTATAATGTCAAATATGCCTCACCATGCTGGAAGGCATTCAGAATTAGTCTGGAAATGTAACTGTAACATCTGTTATTGCTTGTTTTAGGAAGTAGCTTCTGTCACCTTGCTGTTCATGTATTACCTGGAGGTTTTCTTCCAAGTAGGATTATTTACATCACTGATTGAGGATAGTTTTTTTTCATACCTGTATTATAGTGATAATTGCTTGTTCCTTTGCATTACCACCTTTTTTTCTAACAGCAATTTAAAGAAGATATGTAAAATCCGTGGTAGCTAGCTCAAGGGCTGCTGGTGGAGCTGAGAGAAATGAAGAGGCAGAATGTGTGTGGGAAGGTACAGCAAGCTCCTTGTAACTTAAGACCCAACACTGAATTCATTACACATGTTCATTTTAGATCTGGAAGATGAGCTGTTTGCCACACTACAACATGCATCTGCTGGAAATGCTGACAAGGGTTTGGCTCTTTTTGGGCTCACTCTTTGTACTGCTCCGTTGGCTGCTGCCCTGCAGTACCTAACAGGTACAGTGCTGCTTCTTTGCTCTTTCTCCTGCTTTCTTAGCCTGTGGTATGTTATCTAAAATAAGGTGGAACAAACAGGTGGGATCAAGCAAATGTTTATGGGCTGGACAGGTTTGCCCAGAAACTGCTGGCACCACTCGTGCCTGATGAGCTGTGTCCCAGGAATTCAGTCTGTCACTGCCAAATCCACATTTGAAGTCACCTGTGATCCTCAGGGCCCACTGTGGTGCCACCCACCCTGTGTCTCCCCAAACTTCAGGATGTTCTGCTCTGAACACTCTGTCTCTGGCACAAGCAGTGTATTTTAACAATATGCAGCAGCAGATGGTCTCACTTGCTGTTACTGCAGCAAAGACAATGCCATCACAGTCATGGAGAGTCAGCCTTTCATTCCAGCTTACCAGCACTGGGCTTTGCCTGCCAGGAGTTTTTGAAGCGATCTGCGAGACGATGCTTTCAGAAGATGAAGAAGAAAAAAAAAAAGGAATAGTCCTACTGTCAATGGTCTAGATAATCTACATGAAAAGGTGCATTTTAACAACCTCTGAGGTGAATTAAACATCTAGGATTGGGGGGAACAAGGACAAATTCCTACTGTGTTTCATATTTGTTTAGTGCAGCACTAAGAAGGAGAGGGAAGACATCTACAGGGAGAGAGCAGCTCTAATCTACAGAGCTCTCAGCCTTGCTGTTCAATGGTACAGTTCAGGTACCTATTGCTTGTACACTACTGAACTGCAGTATTTACTGCAGTTAATGTTACCCCATAACTTAAACCAACAGCAAGTGCTTTTATTTACCCATATAACATCCCAGATTCAGTTGAGCCTGGCCACTTGGACAGTTAGTTGTATATGTTATAGGAACTTCCTTTAAAATAGCTTTTTGTAATCTAGAACTACACACTCCCAAATCTTCTGATGGGTTTTGTAGCTGTGGGAATGAATTTGAATTTCAAAACAAGGACTCCTGCGAAGCACAGATATCTCTGGATTTCACAGGCAGGAGGGGAGAGAGAAGAGCAGGAACTGTGACTGGTTGCATGAGGTTACTGCAGTGGCTTTACATGAAAGTGTTCATGGTACTAATGCAAGCACAGACTTGTCATCCAAGCCCCTGCTGTATGACTGAGCACAAGAGACTGATGGTTATTTGCTCCCCTTGCAGATCTGGGGGAGCAGGATGACAGAGAATGAAGAGGAAAATGTATTAAGCCTGAAACATCCCAAGTGACCAACTAAGCACAAGTGCTGCTTAAATGTCTTCACATGACCTACTGTCCTGTTAAGATTGAAATTCACATTTCAAATTAAGGTTTAGTGTATTTTATTATAATTCAATGCATTTTCACTAGACTTAAAAAAAAAAAAATTGCTATGACCAGTTAATATAATGAAGAGAGCAAGTGCCAGCAACCAAAGGAAAATGAAGGCATTCTTCTGCCAAGGACACAGTTTTTTTCAGCCCAAACATCACTTTATTAATATTGAAAAGTCTCCCTCTTCTCAACTCCATTCTGAAGGCTAAGCCAGGAAACTCATTGTGTCAGGACTGCGCTCCTAGGACAGCATCAGACACTACTGAGAGAGGTAAAAGATGAAATACATAGTTCAAGGGGGGGGAAAAAGAGCCTCTACAGTGTAAAGTAGGTCAGAAATGGGGCCAGTGCAGTACTGAGTCCATGCATAATGCTCTCTGGGAAAAAAAGAAGAGCTGGATCCTTAGTGTTTTATCATGTTCCAACAAACTCCCCTCCTCTATCAAGGCAGTAGCTGGAGCACTAGTTTGAAAGTCTAATTGTAACACATAATTCAGGTAGCTCTAAATAGGCAATGGTAGCTTCGTGTTTGGGAAAGGGATTATAGACACTGCTGAATACAGAGTACTTAGAAAAGGTTTCTGCATCATAACAAGTCCACCTATGCGGTGCAGAAATTTTAGGAAATGAACCGTCCAACAGATTATGCAGGAACTGTTTTCCTGTTTGTTTTCCAGAATTCTGAGAAGGGCAGCACTGCCCTCTTGTGGTAATAAAGGAGAACAATTAATAATAAGATTTTTAATGTTTAACTTCCACAACTCATTATAAATACTTACAGACTCAAATTCACATCAGAAAAATGAGGAGAACAATAATTAAGCTCATAATAAAACAGCGTTCTTGATCTATGTATACAGGATCTGTAAAGGTTTCTATTTTTTTAACTGGTAACAAAATGATTCTATTTGTAAGGACTCACCATGAACCTGCTTTTCTTTGTTTTGAAAAAGGCACTAAATTCTAAGCATTTCAAAAGTCATTAGGAAACGAAAGAGAAATGCTGTCACCTGCATATTCAAATATATATATATATTTATGAACAACTTTCTACATGAGGACTTGGAGCTTATTGAAGAGCTTGAAATAAGCATCAAAACCAACGCGTGGGAACCTGAGCTGTGCCTAGGCCAGTCATATATAGACAGACAGACAGACAGACAGACATCAGCTGACCAGACAGCACACACATACTGACCGACTGCAGGTAAGGAGGCCACTTCCAGGTGAGAAAACCCATCTCACTCCTTTGACAGGGAAGCAATAAAACATGCACAAACAAACAAACAAACAAAATTGGCAAAACCTTAGTGTTCAGAGTTAGTTCTTAAGATTTTTAGTGAATGTTTCCACACGTTGTCCCACAATGGCAAAGTACTGCTGAGTCTTCATATGGAAACAGCAAAAGCCACATTATGAGCAGGTGCCACTTGGCTGCAGAAACTGGCAAGTTATGGGCAATAGAAGTCCTCTTCTCTTCAGAAGCCACGTGTTATCCCACCTGCCACTAAAGACACAAACAGCAAAACACCACACGTTTGTATGAAGATAGGGAAAAGAAAGGAAAAAACCCAACCAACCGACCACCACAAGGTTGTCCAACTGCAATAAATTCTACAATAAAACACCTTTTATACCCAGCAGGTGAGGGACATGCAGCGTACCAGTGGCATCTTACAAAGACTCCTGCCTCCTGAGTCAAA